CCCCAAAACCCCAAAACCCCAAAACCCCAAAACCCCAATAATAAAATTTTCATTTGAAATAATAACAAATTATTATGGAAAGAAAAGGTGGCCTCCCTCAGATGAAAGGATACTATGCTAAACATAAACCAACCAAAGAGAGCAAACTAAACAAAAGTAGTTCTGCCTCTGCTCTTGGCAATAGCTATGCTCCAAAAGAAAAATGGCAGAGCAACTTTAGCAGTAAGCTAATATCTGAATAGAATACCTTATATCTGGTCGACCAGACTATTCATTATAAATTTGTTGCTGGCAGATAAGTTTTAAGACCAATTCGTTTCGGTGAATTAGTTGATTACAATTTTCTTTAAAAATTATTGAAAGTTGTGTACCCTTATGGTTTATAAATTGTGTACCTCCACCAATAAGAAAGAAATATAATAACTCTGGTTTCTGGAACAATTGACTTCGCTCTTCTGATATCTATCAAAATAAAAATAGCCCTGATTATTGGCAAAATACAATGGCATCTTTTGATACCTGCACTAAGCAAATCCAATGTAAATGCAAAAGCAAAGAAAGCATTACTAAAACAATTAAAATGGCTTTGTATACCCAAGTTGGAAATATCAATGAACTTTGACTGTTGTGCTAAGATTTGGGTCAAAGAGCATTTATTTAAGAGAACTTTCACAAATATTTTTTGCTTTTACCTGGACCATCTTGCTCCTCAAACAATAAAAATTTAACATTATTTTTAAAGGATATTTAATTCTTTAGCTTACTACAACCAAAGAAAGCAAAGGAGAAACTATAATATCAAAACCCATGAGGAATCTAAAAATGGGTCTCCTCAGAAATTCCATTCTGTTGATAAGGTAACTCTATTCGATAATCAATAGAAATATGACTTAAGTCAGTATGAAAGCAGGAATAAAAAACCAGCCAATGCTGGTTCTTATGCTTCTGCATATAGAACACAGAGTATTTCTTGATGTAAATTTTTAGAGAATACTGAATCAAACTTAGTCAGCAGCCCTAAATATCCTCCTCGCTATAAATAAAGCTAGCTCGAAGAAACCAGAGAAGGCTATAGAATACCCATTAACCAGCAGACACAAAGAGTTAGATGGTGAAAAGGTAAGTTATCATGCTAAAAATAGAAAATCTTCACAAGCTCGAGACCTCAACTAACTCCTCAAGCAGTACCGAAGTCTCTTAAGTTCCGGTTCGACAACAAAACTCTCCTCTCAAAAGGTTTTAAAGCTACAGAAGATCAAAAGAAAGTAAAGGAAGAATGAGACCTTACTGATGAAGAAAATGTGATTGATGACTCAGAAGAACAATCTTGCTTTGTAGTTGGTAATTATAGAGCCCATAAGAGTAAAATTAAACAACTCAGAGGAGATAGAGACGGCAGTGATAATAAACCTGTTCACAAATCTGACAAGCAACTTCAAACTGATGATGTACAAGTGAACATTAAAGAGGTATGCAAAGAAATTATTAATTATCAGATTAGTTTAATGAAATATTGCTGAACTAGATGGAGCAATATTGACTTTACTTTACAAGCTATACAAATAATAAAATCAACCGCTCTAACAACAATTCACTATTGTTTGATTACCAAAATAGCATTAATATTTTAGGATTCTCTGATAAACGTGAAGATAAAGCAGGAACATAAAACAGAATCGAAGATATCGCAAAAATTTTGTTCCAAAATGAAAATTTTGACTGACTTCTATCAGAACATCTGTAAGAGCATGAATCTAATCTCGACAATGGCTAAAACAAACAATTTTAAAATATTTCAAAATTAATTAATCTCATCAAATATAGTTGCTAAACCTTTAAATTTAAAAGACAGTAACTTGAATGACACTATCGCTTACCTCACTCGCACGTTACACCAGACTACTGATAGTCTTCAAAATATCGATCAAAAATATTCAGGTGAAGACCAATTTTACGGTTCTGACTATGACGCACAATTAGATTTCAATAAAAAGTTAGAGGCATCCTTAAAATTTCTAAAAGCACGAAATTTGGAGCTTGAAGAAATAGTGAAAGAGAAATAACCTAAAACAAATTCAAACTGAGGCTAAAATATCTGCTCTTCATAATAAAAATATCGAATTGAATGAACTAATTGAATCTCTCAAGCAAAAGACTGATGAAAGCAAGCCTAATTTGAATAATAAAAAGGACATTATTCAATTATATAAAGAAAAGATTCAAAATCTTAGCAAGTCAATTAGGATGCAAATGGTGTCAACCAACAATATCGATCAAGTCAGACAAAGACTTAGTGATAAGTTAAAGGTTCTAAAGAATGAAAATGAGAATTACAAACAAATTAACCAAGAACTTAATATCAAAGTTGAAGAATTAACTGCTCAAATTCAAAGTGTCAAAATAGAATCTAATCAGAATGAAGAAGAAAAACTACAGTTTGAAAGAACCAAGAATACTTATACTGATAAAGATGCAAGCCATACTGGTATATTTCTAATTTAACTCTGATAGACCAAGACAAAGCTTCAATCTGAAGCAGGCATACTCAAAAGATAAAGGAACTCGAGAAATCTAATACTCAACTTGAATATGAGATTAGAAAAATGGCAAATATTTCAAAGCAAGAGACTAACAATCTGAGTGATATCATTAATCAGTCACTTGATGTCCTAAACGATATTAGTCTTACTATTCAAAACCTGAGACCTATAAACAGACAGTATTATGCAGACGAGAATTTGTACATACAAAAGGCTAATTTTAACTCTCTAGTAGCTCATAAAGAGTACTTGACTGATAAATACTTTGATCAGACTTCTTTCACTGATAGGATAAAGACTTTGGAAGAAGCTCAAAATAGAGTCAAATTATTAATGAAGACAATTCCCAAGAGGAGTAAAGATAAGCTGTCTGCCTCGGTTAGTGACAAGAGAGAACTGCCTATGTATCAAGAAGACAAACCAGAAAAGAGAAAGTCTTTGAATAAATCTAACTCAAATAATATTGAAGAGTTAGAGAAATTATGCAAAACCAAAGATCAACAGTTAGAAAATAAGAATAACCAAATTCTCTCTTTCGAACAGAAAATAAAAACTCTTAAAAGAGAGAATGAAGAATTAAAGGCAGAGATTACTGAATTGAATGCATTGGTAAATTAGTTACCATTATTTTTAGCTTTCCAAGTATGCAGCCCAACAATATTTGACTAAGTCTCCTCAAACACAATCTCATATCTCTCATTTTATGAGTAGGAGGCCCGAAGATTCTAAAATCACAGAAACAAATACTCTTGAAAAGACAGGAAGGGACATGATTAAAGAAGCTAAAGAACAATGTAAGATCTCTTAGTTATCTTTAGGATACAATAAGAGTAATAAGAAGCATAGTGCAGAACATGAAGATACTTTTGAGAAAGCTGATGACAATAATTCTTTTCAGATTGATCTCTCTCAATCAATACAAAATCCATTTGAGGAGAATAATTCAAAGAGAACCCAAAGTTCAAGATTTCTTGAATCTTCTCCCAATGAAGATTCAAAGTTGTCTGGTGAAAGAGATAATAGCAAGGTTTCTAGCCTAAATAGATCAAGAAGTAGGAAAAGATGGAACAAATCTAACAAAGTATCTGAAAAGAGTCAAACTAAATTATCTAAAAATAAATCTAAATTGGCATTAGGTTCAGATACTGGTGAAGACGATAGCTCTTTCATGAATGACTTTGATGATTTAATGAGAGAGGATAAAAAGAGTGGAACCAAAATCATAAGACAAACTGGAATTAGTAATCAGAGTGACTTTATCAAGCCAGAGATAATTGCACAATCGCCATCTCCTATTTTGTTCAATTTCGATGAAAATACAGAGTCACTATTGCAAATAATCCACTCTGTTTCTTGAAGCTTAGAAGATTATTTCCAAGAATAATATAATTCCCAGTGTTCAATCTAATATTATTGTAACGGGGTTTTGGGGTTTTGGGGTTTTGGGGTTTTGGGGTTTTGGGG